TTGTTTTCCAGCAGGCAGCGTGAGCTGTTTGATAGGAGGAATGGAGACAAATGGTTTTTAATACTTGACGGCTGTTGGAGTGTGAGCAAAGTAACATTTATGAAGGGGTTCGGGGAAACCGGCAGGCCGGACTTGAGTCCTGGAGATGGGAAGTGCAGTGCCTGCACTCTGAAGGAGGGGTGTTAATGTTGCAGTTTAAAGACTGTAGTGTAAAGCACCCTTCTGGCAAGACAGTGATGGAGTGAATGATGGTGAAAGTTTTTCTTTTTCGGGCCACCCTGCCTTGGTGGGAATGGGCAGTTGTGATAAAAAAAAAAAAATAATAATAATATATATATACACCTACCATCCGACTTACGACCGAGTTCGGTTCCGAGAAACCGGTCGAAAATCGAAATGGTTGTAAGTCGAACTTTACTACTGAATATCAACAAAACATTTTGTAATGACTTTATTTTATTGTTTTATTTTGGTATTTCATGTTTTACTTTACTTTTTATGTTGTTAGTACTGTATTTTATACTGTAAGGTTTAGGATAAACACTGTGTACAACCAAATAGTTTTTTATTTCCCAGAAATTTGGCATAAAAAACACGGTCGTAAGTCGAGTGGTGTAAGTCGAGCAGGTCGTAAGTCAGAGGGTTTAGGTATATATATATATATAATATATATATATATATATATATATATATATATATATATATATATATAATATATATATATATTATATATTTTATAAATATATATATATATATATGTGTATATTTATATGAGAGAGAGAGAGGAATGGTGATTACCATGTTATATTAAATTCATAGTAAGCCTATTTTTTTTTTTTAACAGTCAGAGTTTCATCTTAAGATTAGTGGCGTGAAGGTTCAAAGTCTGTGTCCCAGCCTGGTGAAAACCGACCTTCTCGTCAACTCCTTGAAGAACGCTTTCTCCCCTGAGGTCGGTCAAGCCATCACCAAACAAGCCAACTGTCTTCCGGTTATATCGTGAGTGTTCCACAAAGTTCCTCATCATTTAAACAATTTCTTTTCAGCCTTATATATATATTCTCTTTAAATAGCTTTATGTCACTGTTCCCTCTTTTAATATATTTATTTTGTAATAAGCGTTCGGTTAACAAATAATGTGGCAGTTTCCTTCTTTTTTTTTTAATTCCTTTTAATGGTGTTATGTTTCCTCTATCTCTGAGATGTTTTTGTTTTTCATTGTTCTTCCTTATTTTCTAATTTTTTTTTTTTTCCTTAATATTTTGAGGTCAGACAAGTGGAGTTATTTTAATTTTGATTTTTCACTTATTCAGGCCTAAATTAAGTCATTTTCAGGTATGGTCTTCCTGGAAGATAATCTAAGTGTTTAAATATAGTAAATAGTTCAATGAATTTGTGAGTTGATGTTGGTAAGAAAAGTCACCGACAAATTAATATCTTTAGTAATTTTTGGCGATTTGCTGTCTTTTGTCCTTGCCTGAACATCACCTTACCCAAGTTGAGGGTTGAGATCCCTGACTGCTTGACTGAGAACCTATTACACACTTTTTGGCCCAGATGGCAGAAAGATTTCCTTGTTATTAAAATATTTATTTGGCGTTAAGTCTATGACTTAAACCAATTTATAGATTATTATTAATACAAGAGAATTTGCTTTACAAACTGAAGACGTTGAGGTACCATACTTATCTTTAATACAAGACTAAATTTTTATCCCCTGGTGGTGGAGTGTGTGTTAATATTACTGTCATTATTACAAGACACGATTTCTTACCCTACAGAGCTGAGATGGTGGCAGAGGCCCTGGTAAAACTCCTAGAAGAAGGTCGTAATGGAGCTTGTTTAATGGTAGTAGCTGGCAAGGAACCCTTCTACGTGGACTCTCCCATTTCTTCCTAGCTCCTGCTACCTTCTCTGCTACAACCGATTCAAGCATATATATCTTTGTTAAACATCCCAGTACTTGTTTGAGACCGGACCACGTGGGAAGGGGGAAGGGGCTGGTGATGATTACCAGCATCATTATAGATCAACCAGACATCTTGACCTGAGTTATCTCAATTAACACTCTCTTGTGATGGACAATTTTATATTTTATAATATTTTGTAAGTACTGGTGACTGAACCCAGGCAGTTGCATAAGGAAGTACAAGGTAATATCAACTAGGCCACAGAGTGTACCTGTGGACTCGTGTGTGTCCACTGTGATGGTCTGCTCAATTCTTGACATTATTTCTCATTCTCACAACATTAAATATTTACACTTCATTCTTATGTATATTTAAAACCATTTATAGCATATCTGTATTGTTCATCACTGCAATATTTATTATACATTTTGTAAACTTTAGAATTTAGTATAAACATCATTATTAACATTCTTATTACATTTGAATTATATTTTCATAATTGTACTGTTGCACTTTAAGGTCCCTAATATTTTTATATATTTTCAAAAAATAAATCCTTGTTAGTTATTTAGTGTAATAATATTTGATACAGTGTACTCTTAATTTTTATCTGTGAAGCGTGTAAGCTTCAAAAAGTGGTCATTTCTGATATCAAGTAAATAATAAGTGAGGGCACATACACACACACACACACACAGAGCTATGACTTGAGGCCAGGAGCTGTGTCTCAACCCCTGCAACCATAAATACATGAGTACACAGTAGCAATCAGTGAAGAGGCAGGGCCAGGAGCTATGGGTCGACCCTTGCAACCACAAATAGGTGAGTACACACACACACACACAGGAACTGAAAAATCTGAAACAGCATAAAGAATTAAAGAACAATTTGGGAATGACATCAGAGACTGCTACCTCAGTCACAAGCAAGAAGTCTGTAGGGAACAAAGGAGTGAAAATGTATGCAGGGGTCCTATCAGACCATTGCAGAGCCCGATATAAAGAGAGAATCATATCAGGAGCAATCGAGGGGGCTGTAGAAAATGAAAGAACTAAGCTATATGCAGAGGCCCTAACAGACAACAGCAGAGCCCAGGGAAAGCTGAGAAGGGAAAATGACAGGCCACTAGGCCCAAGGACAACAGTTAGTGAAGAAACTGAAGAAAGAAAAGCTGCAATGGAGGAAACTTAGTCAAATCAAGGGATACATAGGGATATGCAGTGAGAGAATGAAAGGGAGAGGTCAGTCTTTGTTTATGGGCTTCAGAAAGCTGAAGGGGAAACTTACAAAGCAAAAAGACAAGGGAAGAAAAATGCGATCGAAAGCATCATTAAAAGCAATAGGAGAAGATGACATGACTCAGTTGGAATATTTTCGGAGAATAGGGGGGTTTGCAAGAACGAGAACCCGGCCAGTCAAAATAACTTTCAAGGCAGAATCGACTTGCAACAGGATCCTGCAGGAGAAAGCAAGACTAAAGGACATGCTGGCATACCAGAAGATATATCTCGACCATGACAGAACATGAGAAGAAAGGCAGAAATTGAAAGAGATGGCACAAAGACAAAAGGAGGAAAAAGAGATGAAGATGGACAGGAGAGCCCAGACTCAGGAGGAAGATCAAATACAGCCTCCCTCACAACCAAATAAAGAAGCCCCCATCCAGGACAACCCCAGTGCAACCAAACATTCTAACATGCCATATCCAATGTCCCCACCCCCTTACTAACTCCACCTTCACAGCAACCATCCATTGTTCCTTATCAGGTCTCCCACTTCCCTAACCCCAATGTGCCCCTCAGACCACAGTTTTAGAAAAGAAGTTGAAGGTTTGGTATACAAATGCAGATGGAATAACAAATAAGTGCGAGGAGTGGCATGAAAGAATCAAGGAGACATCCCCAGACATAATAGCACTCACATAAATGAAACTCGCCAGGATGATTACAGATGCAATCTTTCCACATGGATATCAAATCCCCAGGGAAGATAGAGAGAGGAGAGGGGGAGGAGGAGGAGTTGCACTGCTCATTTAAAACCAGAGGGGATTTGAGGAAATGAATGAAATGTGCAAAAGGGACTACTTAGTAGGAACAATCCAGCCTGAGGGCCATAAGGTGGTAATTTCAGTAATGCACAACCCTCCACAGAATGGCAGTAGGCTAAGAGAAGAATGTGACAAGAGCAACAGAGCAATGGTTGACACACTAGCCGAGGTGGCCAGAAGAGATCACATGAGGGAAGCAAAGTTACTAATTATGGAGATTAACTGGGAAAACCTGGAACCCCATGGGGGTCCCAAAACATGGAGAGCCAAAATGATGGATGTGGTACTGGAAAACCTCATGCATTAACATGTTAGAGACACTACCGGAGAGAGAGATGAGGATGATCCAGCAAGACCTTGTATTCACCTTGAGTAGTTCGGACATCAATGATATCATGTATGAAAGGCTCCTTGGAGCTGGTGATTATGTGGTTCTGTGCTTTGATTACAAAGTTGAGCTACACATGGAGAGAGCAGCAGGAATAGGATGGGAAAAACCAAACTACAAAAGGGAGACTACACAGGCATGAGGAACTTTTTGCAAGACATTCAGTGGGAGAGAGAACTGGCAGGAAAACCAGTAAAAGAAATGATGGACTATATGATAACAAAATGCAAGGAGGCAGAGGAGAGGTTTGTTCCCAAAGGAAACAGAAATAATGGGAAGACCAGAACAAGTCCTTGGTTCACCCAAAGGTGTAGGGAGTCAAAAACTAGGTGCACTAGAGAATCGAAAATGTACAAAGACAAAGGACCCAGGAAAATAAAGCCGAGGAGCTAGAAACGAATATGCACAGATAAGAAGGGAGGCTCAGTGAATATGAAAATGAGACAGCATCGAAAATCAAGTCTGGCCCAGTCAAGGACCAGGTAATCAGGCTGAGGAAGGATGGTGGGGAATTCACAAGAAACGACAAAGAGGTATGTGAGGAGCTCAACATGAGATTTCAAGAAGTATTTACAGTGGAAAGAGGTAGGACTCCAGGAATTCAGAACAGGGAGGTACACCAACAAGTGCTGGATGAGGTACACATAACCAAGGAGGAGGTGAAGAAGCTGCTATGTGAACTTGATACCTCAAAGGTAGTGGGAGTAGACTACATCTCTCTGTGGGTCCTTCGAGAGAGAGCAGAGATGCTGTGTGTGCAATTAACAAAAACTTTCAACATATCTATTGAAACTGGGCAACTTCCTGGGGTAAGGAAGATGGCAAATGTAGTCCCAATTTTTAAAAAACGAGACAGGCACGAAGCATTAAACTACAGACCTGTTTCACTAATGTGTATAGTATGCAAAGTCATGGAGAAGATCATCAGAAGGAGAGTGGTGGAACACCTGGAAAGAAACAAGTGTATAATCGACAACCAGCATGGTTTCAGGGAAGGAAAATCCTGTGTCACAAACCTACTGGAGTTTTATGACAAGGTGACAGAAGTATGACAAGAGAGAGGGATGGATAGACTGCATTTTCTTGGACTGCAAGAAGGCTTTTGACAGTTCCTCACAAGAGGTTAATGCAAAAGCTAGAGGATGAGGGCACATAATAGGAAAGGGATTGAAATTGATCAGAGAATATCTGACAGGGAGGCAACAATGAGTCATGGTATGTGACGAGGTGTCAGAGTGGGTACTTGTGGCAAGCAGGGTTCCACAGGGGTCAGTCCTAGGACCTGTGTTGTTTTTGGTATGTGTGAATGATGTAATGGAAGGGATAGACTCAGAAGACTCCTTGTTTGCAGATGATGTGAAGTTAATGAGGAGAATCAAATCAGTCAAGGATCAGGCAGGACTACAAAGAGACCTGGACAGGCTACATGCCTGATCCAGCAACTGACTCCTGGAATTTAACCCTGCCAAATGCAAAGTCATGAAGATCGGGGAAGGGCAAAGAAGGCTGCAGACAGAGTATAGTCTAGGTGCCAAAGACTGCAAACTTCACACAAGGAAAAAGATCTTGTTGTGAGTATAATACTGAGCACATTTCCCGAAGTGCACATTAATCAGATAACTGCTGCAGCATATGGGCATCTGGCAAACCTAAGGATAGTGTTCTGATACCTCGGTAAGGAACTGTTCAAGACTCTGTACATTATATACATCAGGCCAATACTGGAGTATGAAGCACCAGTTTGGAATCCACATCTGATCATGCACGTCAGGAAATTAGAGACTAGTCCCAGAGCTAAGGGGATTGTCCTACAAAGAAAGGTTGAGGGAAATAGGCCTGACGGCACTGGAGGATAGGAGGGTGATGGGAGACATGATAATGACATATAAAACACAGCACGGAATAGACGGGGTGGACAAAGACAGGATGTTCTAGAGATGGGAGACAGAAACAAGAGGTCACAATTGGAAGTTGAAGACTCAGATGAGTCAAAGGGATGTTAGGAAGTATTTCTTCAGTCATAGAGTTGTCAGGAAGTGGAATAGCTTAGAAAGTGACGTAGTGGAGGCGGGAAAAATACATGGTTTTAAGATGAGGTTTGATAATGCTCATGGAGCAGGGAGAGAGAGGACCTAGTAGCAATCAGTGAAGAGGTAGGGCCAGGAGCTATGACTCAACCCCTGCAACCACAAATGGGCGAGTACAAATAGGTGAGTACACACACACACACACACACACACACAAAGCATGTCTCCAGAAGCACTCATCAACCAGATAACTGCTGCAGCATATGGGCGCCTGGCAAACCTGAGAATAGTGTTCCGATACCTTAGTAGGGAATCGTTCAAGACACTGTACACCGTGTATGTCAGGCCCATACTGGAGTATGCAGCACCAGTTTGGAGCCCACACCGGGTCAAGCATGTCAAGATATAAGAGAAAGTGAAAAGGTTTGCAACAAGACTAGTTCCAGAGCTAAGGGGAATGTCCTATGACGAAAGGTTAAAGGAAATCGGCCTGATGACACTGGAGGACAGGAGGGTTATGTGAGACGTGATAATGACATACAAAACACTGCATAGAATAGACAAGGTGGACAGACACAACATGTTCCACAGAGGGGATACAGAAACAAAGGGTCACACTTGGAAGCTGAAAACTCAGATGAATCAAAGGGATGTTAGGAAGTATTTCTTAGTCACTGAGTAGTCAGGAAGTGGAACAGTCTGGCGAGTGATGTAGTGAAGGCAGGAATATACACAGCTTTAAGACGAGGTATGATAATGCTCATGGAGCAGGGAGAGAGAGGACCTAGCAGCATTCAGTGAAGAGGTGGGGCCAGGAGCTGAGTTTCGACCCCTGCAACCACAATTAGGTGAGTACACACACACCCATAAACACCCACACACATGCATACACACATACACACACACGGCCAGTGAAGAGGCATGGTCAAGAGCTGTGACTCGACCCTTGAAACCACAATTTGGTGAGGACACACAGACACACATACACACTCACATTCATTCATTCACTTCAAGAACGTTACCCAGTGCCACTCAAAATTAAAATTAGGCAGCTTCGTCTCTGGTTAAATTATCTTTTTGTACCTGCTAAAGCTTGAATTGCCAATGAAAGTGTAATGAACTTGGTCATTGTTCAATAATTACTCACATGGAGACAGAAACTCAGATGAACTGGTCTGCATATTTCTTCCCTAAGCTAAAGCATAGGTAAGAGAAAATAATACAATGTATGTTTCATGTTTGTCCTTATTCTACATGGTAGCTAGTTTGGTAATTTTTTATAATATAATTTCCATTAATTACTGAAATTTTCAATAAACTATTACTGATCTCAGGTTTGGGACCTTAAGAGTATTTTGTGTTTTCCCTAAATATATGTACAGCCTCTCCTCACTTAGCGACTTACTCGTTTACCGACGACTCGGACTTATGACAGGCTCTTTGAGCAGTATGCACACCTAAACAATGAATATTAGAGCTGATTTCCTCAATTCTGTTTATTACAATATACAGCACACTGCTGAATAAACATTTAAATATATACCAGAAATGTTATAAATAAGTATACAAGATATGATGTAGGGCGAAATGACAGTACGTAGTTTGTTGGATTATGTATTGGTAGATAAAAGACTGTCGAGTAGACTTCAGGATGTACATGTTTATAGAGGGGCCACAGATATATCAGATCACTTTCTCGTTGTAGCTACACTGAGAGTAAAAGGTAGATGGGATACAAGGAGAATAGAAGCATCAGGGAAGAGAGAGGTGAAGGTTTATAAACTAAAAGAGGAGGCAGTTAGGGTAAGATATAAACAGCTATTGGAGGATAGATGGGCTAATGAGAGCATAGGCAATGGGGTCGAAGAGGTATGGGGTAGGTTTAAAAATGTTAGTGTTAGAGCAGAAGTTTGTGGTTACAGGAAAGTGGGTGCAGGAGGGAAGAGGAGCGATTGGTGGAATGATGATGTAAAGAGAGTAGTAAGGGAGAAAAAGTTAGCATATGAGAAGCTTTTACAAATTAGAAGTGATGCAAGGAGAGAAGAGTATATGGAGAAAAAGAGAGAGGTTAAGAGAGTGGTGAAGCAATGTAAAAAGAGAGCAAATGAGAGAGTGGGTGAGGTGTTATCAACAAATTTTGTTGAAAATAAGAAAAAGTTTTGGAGTGAGATTAACAAGTTAAGGAAGCCTAGAGAATAAATGGATTTGTCAGTTAAAAATAGGAGAGGAGAGTTGTTAAATGGAGAGTTAGAGGTATTGAGAAGATGGAGGGAATATTTTGAGGAATTGTTAAATGTTGATGAAGATAGGGAAGCTGTGATTTCGTGTATAGGGCAAAGGAGGAATAATATCTTATAGGAGTGAGGAAGAGCCATTTTGTGTGTGTGGGGGAAGTTCGTGAGGCAGTAGGTAAAATTAAAGGGGTAAGGCAGCGGGGATTGATGGGATAAAAGATAGAAATGTTAAAAGCAGGTGGGGATATAGTTTTGCAGTGTTTGTTGCTATTATTTAATAAATGTATGGAAGAGGGTAAGGTACCTAGGGATTGGCAGAGAGCATGCATAGTTCCTTTGTAAAAAGGCAAAGGGGACAAAAGAGAGTGCAAAAATTATAGGGGGATAAGTCTGTTGAGTATACCTGGGTAAAGTGTATGGTAGAGTTATATTGAAAGAATTAAGAGTAAGACAGAGAATAGAATAGCAGAAGAACAAGGAGGCTTTAGGAAAGGTAGGGGGTGTGTGGACCAGGTGTTTACAGTGAAACATATAAGTGAACAGTATTTAGATAAGGCTAAATAGGTTTTTGTGGCATTTATGGATTTGGAAAAGGCATATGACAGGGTGGATAGGGGGGCAATGCGGCAGATGTTGCAGGTGTATGGTGTAGGAGGTAGGTTACTGAAAGCAGAGAAGAGTTTTTACGAGGATAGTGAGGCTCAAGTTAGAGTATGTAGGGAAGAGGGAAATTATTTCCCAGTAAAAGTAGGTCTTAGACAAGGATGTGTGATGTCACCGTGGTTGTTTAATATTTATAGATGGGGTTGTAAGAGAAGTAAATGCGAGGGTCTTAGCAAGAGGCGTGGAGTTAAAAGATAAAGAATCACACATAAAGTGGGAGTTGTCACAGTTGCTCTTTGCTGATGACACTGCTCTTGGGAGATTCTGAAGAGAAGTTGCAGAGGTTGGTGGATGAATTTGGTAGGGTATATAAAAGAAGAAAATTAAAAGTGAATACAGGAAAGAGTAAGGTTATGAGGATAACAAAAAGATTAGGTGATCAAAGATTGGATATCAGATTGGAGGGAGAGAGTATGGAGGAGGTGAATGTATCAGATATTTGGGAGTGGACGTGTCAGCGGATGGGTCTATGAAAGATGAGGTGAATCATAGAATTGATGAGGGGAAAAGGGTGAGTGGCGCACTGAGGAGTCTGTGGAGACAAAGAACTTTGTCCTTGGAGGCAAAGAGGGGAATGTATGAGAGTATAGTTTTACCAACGCTCTTATATGGGTGTGAAGCATGGGTGATGAATGTTGCAGCAAGGAGAAGGCTAGAGGCAGTGGAGATGTCATGTCTGAGGGCAATGTGTGGTGTGAATATAATGCAAAGAATTCGTAGTTTGGAAGTTAGGAGGAGGTGCGGGATTGCCAAAACTGTTGTCCAGAGGGCTGAGCAAGGGTTGTTGAGGTGGTTTTGGACATGTAAAGAGAATGGAGCAAAACAGAATGACTTCAAGAGTGTATCAGTCTGTAGTGGAAGGAAGGCAGAGTAGGGGTCGGCCTAGGAAAGGTTGGAGGGAGGGGGTAAAGGAGGTTTTGTGTGCTAGGGGCTTGGACTTCCAGCGGGCATGAGTGAGCATGTTTGATAGGAGTGAATGGAGACAAATGGTTTTTAATACTTGACGTGCTGTTGGAGTGTGAGCAAAGTAACATTTATGAAGGGATTCAGGGAAACCGGCAGGCCAGACTTGAGTCCTGGAGATGGGAAGTACAGTGCCTGCACTCTGAAGGAGGGGTGTTAATGTTGCAGTTTAAAAACTGTAGTGTAAAGCACCCTTCTGGCAAGACAGTGATGGAGTGAATGATGGTGAAAGTTTTTCTTTTTCGGGCCACCCTACCTTGGTGGGAATCGTCCAGTATGTTAATAATAATAAATAAATGTTATATATGGTTCAAAGGTGACATTAAAACAATGTCAAAGATGGTTGACACAAACCTACTACCATTATAGTATGCTCCTCACTTAGTGGCGAATTCGTTTACCAACATGGTTTTAGGAGCGGAACTCCATTGATAAGCGAGGAGAGGCTGGTATTACACTGTAATATAAAGTGAACAATTCCATAAATACATTTTCACTGAAGCTTTACCAATAAAACATAATTTGTCTAGTTGTATTATTTACCAGATGTTTTAATGGAGTAACGAACAATAATATCTTTAGTTACAGTAGAAATTATACCTAAGGCTCGAATGTTCTTAATGAGAAAGTCTCGCAGTATTGGGAAGAAATACAGTGGACCCCCGCCTTACGATATTAATCCGATCCTGAGAGCTCATCGTGAGCCGAAATTATTGTAAGGCGAATTAATTTTCCCCATAAGAAATAATGGAAATCAAATTAATCCATGCAAGACACCCAAAAGTCTGAAAAAAAAAATTACCGCATGAAATATTAATTTTAATACACACAAACTTAAGAAGACATGCACAATTAATACTCTACTAAGAAAAGAATACATGACACTTACCTTTATTGAAGATCTGGTGATGATTGATGGGATAGGAGGAGGGGAGAGTGTGGAAGTTGCTATTGTTTAGAAGGGAAATCCCCTTCCATTAGGACTTGAGGTATCAAGTCCTTTTCTGGGGTTACAGTGTTAGTTAGTTTAATATGTTTATTATGCACCCTATACCCATCCTGTGGGCGATAGTCAAAAGATTACAGAGGTACATAATTGGTCCAGGGACTTGACTCCAAAGTTTTGATAGCTGAGCAAGTTACAGAGGTAATGAACTCACAATTTACAAAGGTAATGAACTCCCAATTTACAAAGGTAATGAACTCACAATTTACAAAGGTAATGAACTCCAGGTAGGTCTGGTCACAATCATGACAAGTTACAAAGGTATTTACAGATTACAGAGGTACGTAATGGGTCCAGGGACTGGGCCCCCAAAGTCTTGATAGCTGAACTAGGTACAAAGGTAATGAGCTCACAAGTTACAAAGGTAATGAATTCTGTAGAATGGTTACTTACGTTTATACATGGCTACAATCATGAACAAATTATAGAGTAATGAGCAATTCACACTTCCACACCCGGTCACAACTGTAATGAGCTATTGGTGCAAATATTGATTGTTGAGTCACACACACACCACACACACACACACACACACACAACACACACACACACACACACACACACACACACACACACACACACACACACACACACACACACACACTTTAGTTTAATATCTTTATTATGCACCCCATACCCATCCTGTGGGCAGTAGTCAAAAGATTACAAAGGTACATAATGGGTCCAGTGACTGGACCCCAAAGTTATGATAGCTGAACTAGTTACAAAGGTAATGAACTCCAGGTAGATCTGGTCACAATCATGGCAAGTTACAGAGGTAATGAATCAGCTTCACTCCTATACATGGTTACAGTCATGAGCAAATTACCGTTGGCATCACATAACGTTAAATCCGCATACCGATACATTTTATAGCTAAGATTTTGCCTCGCATGCCGCTAAAAAACCCGCTCAACACTATTCGTCTGAGACGCGTCTAATGTGCGGCCTGAGCCAGCCTCACATGTTCCGCCGGTGGCATTGTTTACCAGCCAGCCTCCGCGGTAACATTCAAGTATACAATCAGAACATTTCGTATTATTACAGTGTTTTTGGTGATATTATCTGCAAAATAAGTGACCATGGGCCCCAAGAAAGCCTCTAGTGTCAACCCTGTGGTAAAAAGGGTGAGAAATATTATCGAAATACTGTGGTACCATGGTCAACTGCTGATGCTGCTGCTGCTGTAGCACTGTCAGCTGCTGCTGCTGCTGTAGCACCGTCAGCTGCTGCTGCTGCTGTACCACCGTCAGCTGCTGCTGCTGCTGTACCACCGTCAGCTGCTGCTGCTGCTGTAGTACCATCTGCTGCTGCTGTAGCACTGTCTGCTGCTGCTGTAGCACTGTCAGCTGCTGCTGTAGCACTGTCAGCTGCTGCTGCTGCACTGTTAGCTGCTGCTGCTGCTGTAGCACTGTCAGCTGCTGCTGCTGCTGTAGCACCATCAGCTACTGCTGCTGCTGTACCACCATCAGCTGCTGCTGCTGTAGTACCGTCTGCTGCTGCTGTAGCACCATCTGCTGCTGCTGTAGCACTGTCAGCTGCTGCTGCTGCTGCTGTAGCACTGTCAGCTGCTGCTGCTGCTGTAGCACCATCAGCTGCTGCTGCTGCTGCTGTACCACCATCAGCTGCTGCTGCTGCTGTAGTACCATCTGCTGCTGCTGTAGCACCATCTACTGCTGCTGTAGCACTGTCAGATGCTGCTGTAGCACTGTCAGCTGCTGCTGCTGCTGCTGCTGTAGCACTGTCAGCTGCTGCTGCTGTAGCACCGTTGTTGGTGTGGCTTATTGAGAATACCAAGAAACAATTAACCCCAGAGGGTTAGTCACCCAGGATAAACAAAAAAGTCAGTGTTATCAAAGACTGTCTAACTTATTTACATTGGGGTCCTTAATCTTGTCTCCCAGGATGCAACCCACACCAGTCGACTAACACCTGGAGTTTACCTGGAGAGAGTTCCGGGGGTCAACGCCCCCGCGGCCCGGTCTGTGACCAGGCCTCCTGGTGGATCAGAGCCTGATCAACCAGGCTGTTGCTGCTGGCTGCACGCAAACCAACGTACGAGCCACAGCCCGGCTTATCAGGAACCGACTTTAGGTGCTTGTCCAGTGCCAGCTTGAAGACTGCCAGGGGTCTGTTGGTAATCCCCCTTATGTGTGCTGGGAGGCAGTTGAACAGGGAACAGTGAACAGTGAACAGGGAAAAATGCCTGGAACTAGTGCTCATATTGGTGAATATAAAGCCAGCAAAGGTTAGTTTGAGAGATTTAAGAATTGTAGTGGCATACACAGTGTGATAAGGCCTGTTCTGGAAGAAGATGCCAACCAGGACCTACAGTACTCAGGAGGAAAAGGCACTCCCAGGACACAGTGTCTCATCAGTCATTGCTGCATCTTCAATAAAGGTGTCATTTATTCTTCATTTAGTAGAGTAGTACATGCACAATATATATTGTGCATGTACTACTCTACTATTGTGCATGTATCCTTCTCTTTGTGTGTAGG